AGATAGACAAAAACGCAAGGGATATGAGTGATAGCGAAAGAAAGAGAGGAAGAGAGAGACCGGGGGAGCAGAAGAGAAGGAGTAGTACATGAGTGAGAGCGAGATAGTTTGAGAGAGGAGATACGAAAATAGAGAGAATGAGAAAAAGGAAGAGAAAGAGAAAGCGTGTGAGGGAGATAGAGAGAGTGAGAAAGAGGACGAGAGAGAGAGAGAGAGAGAGAGCAAGAGACGGAGATAGAAAGAGGGAGAGAGGGAGGGAATGACGGAGAAAGAAGTAGAGAGCGAGGGAGAGAGGTAGAAAGCGAAAAAGAGAGAGGGGAGAGTAAATTTTGATGAGAATCTGTTTTAATGGTAAATATGTTGATTTTTTTTTCTCGTTGAAATCTTTAATCTTTTCTCATGAAGCAAGACAATAAATCCACTAAGACGCAAGGGTTTACTGAATGTTAGCATGAGAAAAATATATTAAAGAGAGCGGACAATAACAGAAGAAAAAGTAAGAAGACAGTTGAAGTGGTTAGTGTAACCGCATGTTCTATGCTGACAGTTTCTTCTATCACACTTCTCTATCAGAGAACTCACATCCTGCTTCTTGCTTCCCAGTCAACTTTGATCTTCAAAAATTTAAATGTCATGTCAATCTTTACATTTGCATTTAGCTAATGAAACTGTAAAATGATGAGATCTTGCCGCTAATCTACTCAGTCAGTTTTGTGCCATGCGTGATACACGCATAGGCAATCATGTATCTTTTGATACATGACTGACGAGGCAGATTATTCCTTGCATTATTTTGCCATTTCTTTTTGCCGTCGACCAGTTGCCATCCAAGGCTAAGAAACCCTTCAGAAGCGCAGCTTAATTAAGATTTCTTGAAAGTGTAAACCGATAGACGTAATGCACACATTTAAAATAAAAATAAATATGGGGCGTCTATTTCAAATACGTGTATCCACTGGTAATAACGTCCGAATAATAAAAACTGTCGGACTAAAAATAAATCAATTAATTCTTTAGAAATTGCTTTGTTTACGTTTCAAATACGAAACTGGGCAGATTGTGGCCTTTCGAGGAAAACTATCCGAACGAGTAATTGTGCGTTCCTTAAAAGATCTGTAACCGAACGGCAAAAAATTGCTGGATTATCTGGTGATTACTCCTACTAATGAGGACATAGGTTTGTTCCTTGCCGGAGAGCACATTTACTTTATTAAAACTGCACAATTGCGCCGACCAGTAGACGTAATATACACTGTTTAATATAAAAAAATAAGGCGTCTATTTTAAACACGGGTATCCGCTATAATAACGTTTGATCTAATAAAAACGACAGGTCGTAAAGATTTTAATAAAAAAAATGTGTGTGAAAACGTTTTACGCAATCTAGAGCAAATGCCTTTGGCACTTTGTAAAATGTGAATATAAATTTGTTTAGCGTCGATTAAAAATAAATAAAAAAAAATTGTATTTTACTCATTTTACATATTTTATTGCCAAGAGCCAGATGTTTCAATCGAAATACACCGAAAATTTATTAGTTTTGTTCGTTGGATAAATCCCGAACGGAAATTTCCTCTCCCTTAGGAATATTCTAATATAACATGGAACACATTAATAAAAAGTTTTCTTTTTTTTTAATAATCAAATATGTTCCCCTACATGTCGGATTAAAATATTTTTTATTCATCCAAAATTAGATTTTTCAAGTGCATTATTATAAATGTCTGCATGGCCTTCAAATAAAAAACTGTGCTCTAGATACTAAAATGTTTACCACTTTCAAAGCTGAAAATCGTTTTTGTTTAACAACTAAGCAATTCCTGTCTATATCTCTGAGATATTAAGATTACTTGCAATAATTCATGGCAATACACAAACAATAAAGAAAAGGAATCCGTGGAGAAAGGGACGGGAAACAACTCCACTGTCTTTCCTAATAATTTATGGCCTGTTTCAAACAATAAAGAAAAAGAATCTCTTATGGCATCTGGAAATTAGTCAGAAAGACAAAATAGTCAGAGTCATGATCACTTACCTCCTGAAGGGGTATAGAATAAAAAAACAAAAAAAAAAAATTGACTAACACTACTAATTTTTTTGCCTATATCTCTGAGATGAGGTATTATGATTACTTGCATTATTTACATTATTAGATCTGTTATCCTCATCTTCATTGGCATATTCACAACGTTTCGGCCTCTACATCTCTGAGATGAGGTATTGTGATTAATTGCATTATTTACATTATTCGGACTATTACCCTCATCTTCATTGCCATATTCACAACGTTTCAGCCTCTATATCTCTGAGATGAGGTATTGGGATTAATTGCATTATTTACATTATTCGGACTATTATCCTCATCTTCATTGCCATATTCACAACGTTTCAGCCTCTATATCTCTGAGATGAGGTGATTAATTGCATTATTTACATTATTCGGACTATTATCCTCATCTTCATTGCCATATTCACAACGTTTCGGCCTCTATATCTCTGAAATGCGTTATTATGATTAATTCCATTATTTACATTATTCGGACTGTTATCCCCAACTTCATTGACATATTCACAACGTTTGAGTTCAATATCAGGCAAAAAAACCAGAACTTGGAAAGTTTTGTTAAAGGGAAATAACTGAGACACCCGGACGCGGCATGTCACGTGGAACTAGAACAATCTACCCCGGTGAACGAAATAAAGGGTTCTGTTCCAATCACCTGAAGGTGGCCGGGTCGTACAACGGCTGAATTATTGTGAATAGGGCGATGAAGATGAGGATAACAGTCCGAATAATGTAAATAATGCAAGTAAGCAGGTAATTTAGTTAAAAAAAAATCCATCATGAAAATCGTTTTTTATAAAAGCAGATTGACTTATTTTAAAGGCCAAATATACAGATTAAACTCGTAATCTCCATTAAGAATGGATGCTAAAATGTTAAAAATATGTGACAATTATTTGAAGTCACGGTTTTACACAGTATTTGAATATCTACACACAGAGACGGACAGGCAACCATCTTTATACAAGTTTCGTCCAAAATCTATCCCAAATTTTAAAGGCTGACAAAAAGACCACTGTAACTGCTATTAAAAATTTATTCCATTGTTTTTACCCAAAGGACTACTGTTTTTATTATTTTCCTTGTAAAATGACATCTCCCAAATAGTGGACTCTATTCGCCATACATATTTCTGGACTATTCTCTAGCCATGATATTTTTTTGGAGTTCGATCGATTCGAGGTCTTCCAGATGGCTTTCTTTTGAACGCTGAACCCGTGGCCCTGAAATTTACAACCATAGCAGTAAGAGGTTTCTATTCAAAACAGCATAATTCCAATGTAAGGTGAAGTTGGCACGAAAAGATCTCTGTATTGAAATTACAGATTCACCAGTCTTAAAAAAAAAAAACGTTTCAAAAGCAAGCTCACGGTGTGCATCGACCCAAGCCATAATGATAACTGACGGTATGATATACAAAACGGTAAGACATTAGCAAGATGAAGACAAGATTGCCCCTTGCCTGTTTTTACTCGTACCACAGAGATGACAGTTTAAAATGTGGGAGGTATTTCTGTCGTAGCTTGCACAGTAAGCACTAAAGTTCAACCAGAATTTCGAGGTCTTTCAGTTGGCTTTCTTTTAAGCGCTAAACCTGTGGCCCTGGAATTTTCAACCATAGTAGTAAGGATGTTCTATGCGGAACAGCAGCATTCCAACGTAATATGAAAGGAGCACGAAAATCTCACTGTATCGAAATTACAAATTCACCAGTCTTAAAAAAACGTTTCAGCTGCGAAGGCACGGTATGCACCGGCCCAATTCATGATCTTAACTGATGCTACCTGAAAGAAGATGGTAAGACATTATCTAGAGAAAGAAACTTGCCTATGTTCCCTAGCATCACACAGGTGACAGTTTAAATTGTTGGAAGTATTTCTGCCTCACCCTGTATATATTAAATACTTTCAGAGAAATTTGAGAACATACACAGGTAGATATGCATAAACAAAAATTGCGTTCCTTGGACAAACTTGATTCCCAGCGTGTTACTTTCCTGCTTATGACGATAAACTGCATCTGGCAGCAAGGCCTCTGATAGAGTGATTGGAGGTTTTAGGGTGCGTGGAACTACCTCAATTGTTGTTGTCCCCCAGAAACAACCTGACCGAGGGTGGCAGCGCCTGGTAGGTCACAGCTATCGGCAAATAGGAAACCCCTAAATAAAAATAAATAGTATATTTTTATACATTATTTACATTATTCGGACTATTGTCCTCATCTTTGTCGCCATATTTATCACAACGTTTCGGCCGTGGTACGCTCCGGACTTCTTCAGGTGGTTGGAATGTCGAACTGAACCCTTTATTTCGCTCACTGGGGTAGACTGTTCTAGTTCCACGTGCCATGTTTGATGAATCTCAGTTATCAGTAATCTCCTGTTAATTTCCCTCTGAAAGTTCTCCACTGCCTTAACAGGGTATTGAACTCACACTCTTTGGGTCCTGTCTCTAGATCTAACCAACGCCTTTATCCACTGTGCCATGTGTCCTTTTTATAGTAAGCTTACTGTTGTGGTGCTCTCCCCTTTATACATAAGATGGACTCTTCCAAATTATATTTATACTGACAGAGAGAATACCTGCTCTTGAGATACGTTGAGACAGGTTGAGAGATACGGAGACAGACACGGGGTGTTCTCAGAGATTTATACAAGAGTCCAGACAGAGAGATGATCAGGGCTTTATTTACAGAGACTTGTACATATACTTTCTACTAACCCGCATTCCTGGACTACTAATCTTCACTTCAAGTCTGTATTCTTACGTTTAATACACTTATTTTTCTATCTCCCTTACTAGCGTTGTTTATTTATTTGTGCAGGATTCCATTCACGGAATCCACAACACTTACCATCAGAACATTTTATAGGATAAATTACCAGCAATACTGATGTAATGAATATGCATACACCTGGGTTCCCCTTCACAGTAATATGATTGGCTGGCGTCAGACATAAATACAGACTGATGTAGAGGTACAGGGACGACGCCTATTGCCTTCGCCTATTGACTACGCCTATTGCCTACCACTACGACGAGGTCCAGTCCATTACGGTTACCTGCTAGATTGTCCTACTCGGTTACAGTAGTCCCAAACCACTTTGCTTACCAGCAATGCATTATTAAAACAGTTACCAGCAATAGATTTTTTTAGAATTACCAGCAATACATATTGACATCTACAGACTATATACTAAACAACATATACTTATCATTAAAGTATAAAATTAAATAACCTAGAGAGGTGTTGATATGCCGCTAAACAAAACCAACCAACCAAAAGGCGCTTTCAAAGGAAATACCAGAATATAGCCAACAAAATTATGTCTACCAGATATTCAGTTTCTTGATAATTCATGGGATGGTCGAATATACGTGAATAAAACAAAGCAAAAACATGACATCCAGACAAATTATTTTGCTCATTGGAAATATTAAATTTAATCTATTAGTTTGAAATTAAAACTCAAATAAAAATTTCAAGAAAGATTTTTCATTAAAAAATCATTTTACACCTTAGGTATTGCGGTTGTACTTGAATCGGGTGATTTATTTAATTTCAAAAATTCAAGATACTATTAATATCAGTAATATTACTATGTTAACTTTCAAAGTAGAAGATAAAGAAATGCCAATAAAAAGTAACCATATTTGAGAATGCTTGAACTTCCGTTATAAAAATCCAGATAATATGGCGACTAGGGATTCTACTCGTGGAAATAAAGTAACGGAAATGAAGATAAAAAAAAATACTCATAAAAATGTTATTTGGATGACAACAAAAATGGATAATATTACTACTAATAATACTACTTTTGGAATTAATGCAATTGAAAAGAAAAGAAGAAAGAAATCCTAGTCAAAAATGAAGAATGTTTGACAATGCTTCATCTAAGGAAAATTGCAGATAATATTACTACTAATAATACTACTAGTGAAAATAAAGCAATTGAAAAGAAAAAAGAAAGAAATCCTTGTCAAAAATGAAGAATATTTGACAAGGCTTTATGTAATCAAAATTGCAGATAATATTACTACTACTAATACTACTTGTGGAAATAAAGCAATTGAAAAGAAAATGAAAGAAATCCTAGTCAAAAATAAAGAATATTTGACAAGGCTTTATCTAATCAAAATGGCAGATAATATTACTACTACTAATACTACTTGTGGACATAAAGCAATTGAAAAAAAAAAGAAAGAAATCCTAGTAAAAAATGATGAATGTTTGACAATACTTCATCTAATGAAAATTTCAGATAATATTACTACTACTAATACTACTTGTGGAAATAAAGCAACTGAAATTAAGAGTAAAGAAAACATAGTCAACAATTAAATAAACATTGATTTTGCTTCCGATAATGGTGATAGAAATTCAAAATTATAATCTTACTCTTCTTGGGAATCATTTAACAGATATCAATGTTGATTATTTCGCTGCCTTTATAAACATATGTGACCCTTCGAGAGGGCAGTTGGATTATTGGCTAAAACGATTCTGTTTCATCATATAAATAAAAGAAATCGCTCTATCGAGCCAGGAACAGTTCCATTTGACATTGTGCCAATGTCCGTACGTTGCCCGTAAACGATAGACCATTGATTAAGCTAATCGATTTGTTTTTGAGTTTTGTCCAGCCCCAAGGACGCTGAAACGAACAATAAACCGTTATGTCATAGCCAACATCATTGAAAGAATGGTGAGCTTTGCCAAACAGTTTTCTCGTGACGAAAATCTTTGGTCTCATATCCGATTTTCATCTTTTGGAATCATGTCTCAACACTGGGCCGATTCCAAAGACACGGATATACAAGGAAATAAATAATCCTTGATTCTAATAATATCTGCGACAGCATTTCCAAGCGATGCAACAGGTTTCTCCTACAAAAGCTAACGGTCATAATTTCAATGTACGGAAGCCTAAAATGAAAAGAAAAAAATGTTCTTTTTTTCCCCCACCGACTAAAAACTCGGTTCATGTTTATTTTTTTTAACATGTGAATCTCTTTTTAAGTGGTATTGGCTTTTGAGTAGATTGCGAAACTGTGTGTGTGGTTGTATGCGTGTGTCTGCGTGTGTGAATGCATGTTAAGCAACGTCGAGCCTGGTCAATACCTGGGTGAGTGCTTGGAAATACATGGTGCTGTAAGCTTGGATATGCAGGTAGTATAAAGGACTTACGGCAATATCATTGAAACACGAGTTCTCGCGTGATCCCGAAGTTAAGCAACGTCGAGCCTGGACAGTACTTAGATGGGTGAGTGATTGGAAATACATCGTACTGTAAGCTTTGATAAGCGGGTAGTATAAAGGACATACGGCAATATCATATTGAAACACGAGTTCTCGCGTGATTCCCGAAGTTAAGCAACGTCGAGCCTGAACAGTACCTAGATGGGTGAGTGATTGGAAATATATGGTGCTGTAAGCTTGGACGTGCGGGTAGTATAAAGGACTTACAGCAATATCATATTGAAAGCCTGCTCAGTACCTAGACGGGTGATTCCTTGGGATTACCAGGCACTGTTACGTGAAACAAAAAGAAACTATAGTTATTGAAATAAAAATGTGTCTTAAACTTAACCAACTTACGCAATTGTAAAAGGAACATATTGCTGATTTACTACCTCACCATCGTAGTTAAGCAACGCCAAGCCTGGTCAGTACATTGATAGGTGAACGCATGGATATGCAGGTGGTGCAATGGATAAACGGCTCGGAATTGGGGATCGGAGAACAGAAATTCCAGTCTGGTTCGTTATATTCTCTTACGCACTAATAGCCACGGGAAAGGTATGAATTCACCTCTTCTCCTACCAGCTATTTGTTAATTAGTAAGAGTGGTATCAGTAAATCATTATTAACCACCAAAACTTCTTTCAATCTAAAAATATTTTCTGGATTTACATAACTTGAAAAGTCAAATCAATATTTAAGATCGAAAATGAACCAGGATATGGCATTGACGCAAATGGTTACAATCAGATAAAAGGGTAAAGACAAAGATAGAGAAAGAGATGAGATGAAGATCGGAGGAACAAAGTTAATATTCTACAAACTCCATGTGCTTCTCAAGAATATATATATATATATATATATATATATATATATATATATATATATATATATATATATATATAAAGCAGGATGGGTCTGCGTGTGTGTGTAACGGATGCACAGCCGCAATTTTTGATGGATTTGCACCAAAATTGACATACATGCTTCAAGTTAGCGTCAAGGGCAAGACTGACTTTGCATTTCCCAACTCCCATCGATAATGGAAATAATCGATTTTTTTTTTCAGGCTTCTACGGCACTTTTCATGTAGTTTGCGGCCATTTTCTATTGACCAGAGTGAGAGACAATAGCTGGCTGCCACGAATAAGGCAGGAAGATTCTATTGGTCAGCGCGAGAGCCAACAGCTGACTGACACGAATGTTAACTATCATGCTAGCATGCAAAAAAAAATCGAAAACTGCATTCGTCATAAGCGGAAAAATTTAAATCTGCATGGCACTTTACTCCAATTGGCTCATTCGCTTGCTTAAACTCAACGTTGATTCTGATTCCGCAGAACTGGGTTAGGTGTGGAAAAGTATTTGTTGTTAACATTCTTTTTTCATTCGTTTTTTTTTCAGTTACGAGTCCTTTTTTAAAGCTGATCGTTTTGTATTCATTTTGTTTAGTTCTTTTTTCGTAACAGATTTAATGTTTAGTATAGTGCTTAGAAAAAGTTCGCAGTGTGAGATAGGCAAGAAGTAAGTCATGTAGCAACATCAGCACGGCAAAGGGCACTCCTTTAAAGGCAAGGGAGGGCTAAAGTATTTTAAGTCAAGTTATAGCAATTCCTGTATGAGTCGTACGATTTTTGAATCAAGCATGGGCAACGCCGGGTCATGCTGCTAGTATATATATATATATTTTCTTTAAAATGATTTTTATTTTCTCAAGTACTTTCAATCTAATCTGAGACCATCTTCAGCGCGTTAAATTGTCTGTGGATATGTATATGGTGATCCGTAAATTCAAAATACTTTTCATTGTTCGTTTTACTGTGTTTTACGGCGTTCCAGGGTCAAATATAAATGCAACAGTTTGTTTTTTTTTTATGCAAGTGAGGTAACTTTTGTGTTTTATTTATTTATTGAAAGAAATCTTCGGTAGTTTTTTCTTAATCAATAGTCTACGACCACTAAGAAATAATCTACGAAGAAATTAATTTGAAATTCGGTGGAATTTCAATTAATTTCTTCGTAGATTGTTTAAATTAATTTCTTCGTAGATTGTTTAAACATTTAGATATTTATCAAACCTTAACCTCCCAAATATGCACGTTAAAGTAACGCAAATTAACAGCGTCTAAGAATTTGAATGAAACCTGTCGTGTAATTGATTGGGGTTGTTTGTAACTTCTTCCTTTAATGTCGTTCTTATCATTCAACACTTAGCCATCTATATCTAAAGACGAGACGCGTTAATTTTGAGCAACATCTAGTTGACACACTGGGGTTAAAAATAGGAAATTGAAATGATACATATGACACACTCATATCCTCTCTCCCACCTCACTTCCTCATTTCGTTAATTTTACGTATACTTGATGAGGTCCGTCAAAAACGTGTGAATTTCTTTTCATTTTTCATTTCACCTTTTGGAAGTAAAGTCTGATGATCCAGAACACTGTTAAAGGGTTATGGTGAAATAGCTTATTACATGGAATCTTAATGTGGTCTGTTTTTTCATTCAAATATATATATATATATATATATATATATATATATATATATATATATATATATATATTGTTCTTTTTGTATCCGAGCTCTTTCGGCTATTCATTTGACCATTTTCAAGTTTGAAATATATTAAACAGTGGACAGTTTTTATATAATTTATCATGTGAAATTGTATAAAAAAATAAATAAAAGCACCCTGTCTGTTGTATTCAATGAACAGTGCACGAAAGAATGATTGCTGCCTAAATACACACACACACACATCTTGCAATCTTTTTTCTTTTAAGTGAGATTTTTGGAAAATGTCATAAAGGTGCGACATGTGTAGAATGTATACATTATGAAATGGACAAAGTCCGACAATTATTTAAGACAATTTTTTTTTTATGTTTATACGTTCTTTTTATAGATACAATAATTATGACGCATATTTTCTTTGACTTTCAGACCGGTAAATGTCGTTAATATTGTTTATTATAAACAGAGCATTTACTTAAATATTTGTATCTATAAAAAGAACGTATAAACATAAAAAAAATGTCTTAATATATATATATATATATATCTGTGTGTGTGCGTGTGTGTGTGTGAAGAAATATAGTTTTAAGGTGTGCTACATTTAAAGAGATAGAGCGTATGTAAATATAAAAATGAACATTTAAGTCAAGACTCAGAGGCGAGAGGCTGTTTCTTGCTAAACGCAATTCTCAGGCCACTTCATTTTAGAAGAGGGTTATATATATTATTAATTAAATTATAATATTTTAATTGATTTATTATGCTATATTATTATTAAAGTAACAAAATAAATATTTATTACTATGTCGGCATCGACCCATTAACTCATTCTACTTTTTTTAATAATTTAAATTGGTTATTAAAAGTTAATACTGATAATTTTTCTTTTAAAGACTGCCTGCAATTCCATGGTAATATTATATAGTGTTACTTATTTTATAATATCCCATTTAACTATATTTTCCCATTTATATACATATATAATACATAAAATATATATATATATATATATATATATATATATATATATATAGCAAAAAAAAAGCAAAATTAGCTCAACATAAATATAGACTATTTCAAAAAATGCTAAAATCTATATATGCTCTGTTTTAATACACTGACTTCTTTGTAGATCAGAGTTAATATTTCACATTACTATGGTCTATCTGAGTTATATATAAACGAATCTATTAAATATATATATATATATATATATATATATATATATATATATATATATATATATATATGTATATTTCATTAAATAATAGGCAAAGTTTTCTCTATTTGTTTTATGGAAATTCCTTTCATATCGTCTGTTAAATTTTCAAGGGATTTCTATATAAATATCTTTGAATGAATGTCCATTTTTTCAATGTTATTTGCGTTTTTTACTCTCTGTTAGTGACGCTCGCATGCCTACGTGCCCATCAATCCATTTTATATATATATATATATATATATATATATATATATATATATATATATATATATATATATATAAATTTTTTGGTTGTAATGCGGATTTTTAATAAATTGGTCTCGCGACCTTCTTCAGGTAAAGAGTGGATATTTCCACATATTAAAATAAATTAATTTTCCTTACGATTTGCGGTGTCAAACATTCTCGACGTTAAACATTCACTTTTTGGTATGGCAGTGACAAAAATGTCTTTCTTGAACTGGCAGTGAGAAAGTTCTTCTGCTTGAAGGGTAATAAAACAATTAAGATTGACCCGAGAAATGCTGATGAAAGGTATATGTATTCTTATCTTTTAATGACCCCGGTGTGTTTTTAGATCTATTTCCATTTTTTGGGTTGTGTGTGTTTTTGTCAGTATGCGTATATATATGAATATTCCCTTTCAATACATACATACTGTCTTAATATAAGGAATTAGTATACACATATACATACATACACACACAAATATATATATATATATATATATATATATATATATATACTTACATGCGCATAAACACACTATGTTATTTAGGGATCGTGTGTGTGCTTGTGAGTAGTCTATTTGTTTTTGCCAATATGTGTATATAAATTCGTGCCCCACGGGTATCTGTGTGTGAGCGTGTGCGCATGCATGTGATTAGTTGGACCATTGTATTTGGCCATTATGTGTGCATGTTGTGCGTTTTTGTGTGGAGTTATGATCTATTTAGTGCTGAAGTCATGAAGTTTTTTTTTCTTGTATTTGTGGGTAAGTATAATTGTCTGTGTGATATATTGGCATAATTTTGAATTCACCCCGATTATATTTATAGATGTGTTGTGATACAAAGAGTTTTTTGTTTTCTGGTAATTTGATGTTGCTTCTGTGGGGGGAAACTCTGTTGTTTAGTCGTTAGCTGATACCTATATATGACTTCTTGCATTTTGTTCATTTGAATGCATAAATCACATTTTTGGGGTTCCACTTTAAATTTTTTATTTATTAAGAATGTAGTTTTGGGGTTTTCAGAAATGTATGAGTTGCATGATGGTCTTGAGCAGGCTGTCGTGCCTTGTAAATGTGTCCAAACTACGCCATTTATCCCCGTTTGAGAAGAGTTTTCTGGTAACCCACAAAAGATTCAAGACTTTTTCACAAAAAAACATTGGTTTTATGTTCTAAAGGAGTTTTCTCATGAAGTGGTTCTCAAACACTTGGATCCTTCT